ATATATATATATTTATAGATGGATAGATAGATAATGTGTAGATGCATGTGATAGAGAGAAAGGGAAGGAAACTGGACCTGAATGACCAGAGGAGGAATATTAACGAAGCTCTTATCGTCAACCTTATACAATAACTTCTTCCATGATATGTTGGGCCTCAGTGATGCCTCAAGAAATTCATCAACAGAGATGTTCGCAAAACCCTCCGCGAACAAAGCCCCTTCACCATTACATTGCAACTCCAGCTTCTCCGCATCAAAGCTGCTAGCTTTCAGTCTTCCAGCCAACGGATAAAACTCCTCAAGAACTTTAGATAGAGAAGCCTGAAGGCTATCGACTCCAACGGATCTTTTGTATAGGTACAAATACTTGATGGAGAACCTTAGAAATCTCTGGTCGTCCAGGTTCGAGAGGTAGATTGAATGGTTGGGAGTCTGGCCGCTTGGAGTAACGAAAGCTGGCTCTTTTGGGTAATAACAATCTGGAATTTTTATGGACTTTGTCATGGTTTCTTACGGGAAGAGACGCAAAGTTTTATGGTGGGAGAATCAAGCAAGAATAGATTTATAGAGAGTAATGGAGATTTGAAAGCACTAGTCTAGAAAAAAAGGAAAAACTCGAAAATTTGAGAGAGAAATAGACTTTTTTGAATTTGAGGAGAGAAGGGTAATAACTGACGAGTATTACATTTGTCCTTTTGATTCTGTCATTCCGTAACCGTATTTATTAGCTTTATGAGAATTTAATGGTGGAGGAGCCCAGCTCGTTTGCCAAGATAGGGCTTAGTCGGTCAGTGTGCTTTGTGTAGGCCATAGATGTTGCACCCAGAATCCATGAGAATTTTGAATTTCACCATCGCTCAACGGAAAAAAAAAATCACTTTGGCAGACCATTTTTTTTTTTCTGTACCACAATTGAAACTATAAGATAGAAATATGTATCAAAATGTTGAAACGATAATGAATACTAGTTTTTTAAAAGAAATTGTAGAACAAATTTCTACCAAAATTTAAATCTGTGTAATTTATTTTTGCAATGCGAGACTATTCGGGCCGGTCTGGTAACACATTTGTTGCAGAATTTAAACTAGATTTATCCTAAAGCTTTCCAGACGGTCATTTGGACAAAATAAAGACTCAGATTTGATGAATCATGATTTTAGAGATTTTGTTCTTAAATCCAGGATTTATTAAATCTCTTGAGTCAATGGATTTAATAAATTCGGCACTGGCTTTTCACGTGAAGAAAGAAGGGTGTAAGTTACCTTCCTTAATGGTTTTGGGTAGCAAAACAACGGAAGGAGGAAAATGAGAGTTTTGGCTCTCTATAAATTACGATCCGGGTGTTATGTTCCGAGCTAACTCCAATTTCCCTCGTACCACGAGGGTTCAGTCAAGAAGGCAATGATTTTGGACGGAATAGAGAGGGGCGGTACGCGAGAGTTTTGGGGAAAGAGAGGAGTGGTATATGCAAGGGTTTCTAAGATTAGGTTTGTGATATTAATTTAACTTAATTAGAGCTAATTGTCAATAAGGAATGACGAAAATCAGATAGCTAAATTAGGAGTTTTCTATAATTAGGAGCTTTGTTATTTAAATTATTTAAATATCTTTATTATGATTTACTTCCCGTTTATCTGAATAATTAGATTATGAATATGTATAATTAAGTTACCTAAAATAGATTATGAGATTATGCACTTTATGATGGTACCTAAAATAGATTATGCACTTTATGATGTACCTAAAATAGATTGTACAGACTATTATTTATAGCAATGAAAGCTAAGGAAAAAGACATTCAACATATTTTTCTCAAAACTTTGACGTGATATCATAGCCAAATTTTTTCTCTAACCATCGATAGTAGTTGGAGGGTTGTCAAGACTCCCTTCCCACTGGCCTTCTTGCGGGACGGGAAGGAAGGAACTATTTTTTTGTCGTGATTCTCGCTCGTCTACTTGTCGTCTCATTATTACTTCGCATGTGTAGTCTTATTTCTACTTCGTCTTCCTCTTCCACTCAGTCGCTCTCGATAGAGCTCTCCTTCATTCAAACTCCAACTATTGTGTCTGCGTCAATCTATTTCTTCCCAAACCATTGCCTTCGTGACAAAACTCACGCGATACAGTCGCAACTAGCTGAGAACGCAATGACGGGATCGCGGCTTACAAAGACCCCCATTCTACTTGTCCTTCCGCTCCTTTCCTACCTGAAACCATTGAGGAAGACAAGCTTTAAAGCTTTTTGAAGAACATGTTGTCGTATATGCCTCCTTATCGCTAGACTCACCTCATCGTGTATCGAGTACAAGCCTCTTTGGTTCCTCCTTTGATTGCAGCCCCCCTTCATCCGAGCACAATAAATCGAGTAGTGGAGTCGAGAAGACAGCTTTCAGAAAAATGGTCATCTTCCTCCGTCGTCGTGTTACCTTCGGAGGCAACCACTTCACCCTTATCCTCTGTTGTCCCCCCAACTTCGTGCGCCAGCTTAGCAGCAAGTCTCTCCAGAACTACAACAACTTAGCGGTCTTTGTCTGTAGCAGTTTGGTCATCGTAGCACTGGTAGGTTGGCCTGGTTTAGTCTTGCTTTTGGCTCAGAAGTGAAGAAAGCAGCGGAGCATGGCCTTCTTTTTTGGAGTTACAATCGATGACAAGGAGGTGAAGGATCGAAGGCTTCGTCTGCAATGGATCTCCTTCGCTAGCCATAACTGCTTTTGCGGTGCCTTCGACTGCTTCTTCCGCTAGGCTTCGTCCACTTTGAATTTGACTTCTTCGTCGCACTCAAGGATTGAAGGCTTCGACACTCCTTCCTAGACCGACGGCTTTGGCTTTGGCAAACCCTAGATCTTCGACTTTGACACTCACGGCTTTGATAATCTCGGCTTCGACACTCACAACTTTGACACTCTCGACTTCGACACTCACGGTTTTGACCTCTAGGCTTCAACATTTTTGGGGAAAAAATCAGCCTCGTCGTCTCAGGAAGAATCAATAGCATTTGGATCGTGCAACAGGACACAGATCCTACTTGTGGGCTATGATCGATAGTATTTGGATCGTATAACAGGATGTAGATCCTACTTATAGGCTATGATCAATAACATCTGGATTGTGTAACTTGACGTGAATCCTTCTTGTGGCTATGATTCAAATTTTTGGATGACAACAATAGCGGATTTCTTGCTTTTCTTTGCTCAAATCATATTAGGTTCAAGAGTTATCTCTGAACCTTCGACATTCTCGGCTTTGGCATGTTCAACTTCGACACTTCTGACTTGAGGATAATTGGTTTCAGCAAAGTTTCTTATTGGCAAATTGATGCTTCCTGATCAGTCAACATCAATTCGAGGTGAATGTCAATCAGGAAGGACGTAAATCAGACAATTAAATTAGGAGTTTTGTATAATTATGAGCTTCCTTATTTAAATTATTTCTAATGTCTTTATTTCTAATGTCTTCAATGTCTTCATTCTGATTTATTTCCCTTTTAGCTGAATATTTAGATTAGGAATATGTATTATTAAGTTATCTAAAATAGATTATGCACTTTATTATGTACCTAAAATAAATTGTACGTACTATTATTTATAGTAATGAAAGCTAAGAAAAAAGACATTCGACCTATTTTTCTCAAAGCTTTGACACTAATTTCTTTAAATTTTATTTAAATTAATTTTATTAACTTAGTTTATTAATAATTAGGAATTAATAAATATTATAAAATTAATTATAATTAAATATTATACTTATAGTTTAATTATTAATTAATTCAAACTAAATATTAATTTTTTATTCATTCAATAAATTTATAAATACATTTTAATTAATGTTAAGCTTCTATTTAATAATTATTTAATTTTAATTTTATTAATTGTTAATTAGTTTAGTAGACATATAATTATTTATTATCACAATTTGAAATAAAATATTACTTGAATTTAAGAAGTTAACAAAGTTTGACTATTTTGAAATGTTTTAAGAACGCGACAGAATTTACTAAATCTTGACTGAATTTGTCTGACTGTTTCATAGAATTTACAAAGAATTTCTAAACCAACTGATTTATAAACTACATTGAAAAAAAACCAACTGATTTATAATCTGTGTTCAGTTTGACTTTAATTTAGAAAATTAGACAAATTGAATGATTTGATTTATCTTAAAGCAGTTATTGAATACATAAACTTGAATACAATCGAAGTATTAACGTACATTAGTCTAATTAGTGACATACTCAATTATGATATTATGGTCCATGTAATCTCAAATACTAAAAGAAAAGATTTAAATACAAAAAACTAAATTAAGTTAATCTAGACATTTTGATCGTTTCCAACTCCAAATCAAAATTCGAAAAACAAACTGAAGGATTCATGTTGATTTGGTTTTGTCGTTTTCTTTTTCAATTTTGATTAAATTTATAATCCTAGTTAATTTCATTTATTTTTATTTTATTTATTTTAATTGTTTTAATGCAAAATTAAGGGAAAAAAACATTTTCAGCATTTAAAAATACAAAATTAAATTAGGAAAGTTTGGAAAAAATATTTTAATAGGTTCCAAGTGATCGAGGAATAATTTAGAACATTTTGGTGCATTTTTATAATTTTTGTGATTTTTAATTATTTTTAAATTAAAAATTAGCTCAAAAATAAAATATTTATTTTAATCTCAATTTTATTTTTCTTACGCGCCCTTGATCACAAGGGAAAAATAATACGTCATGACTCCTAACGTAGAGATACGATCGGATTAGAATATTCGGCTGTGTTACGGGAATATTTCATCTGTCTTATTCGTAAAAATGATGTATTATTTGAGTATTATATGTTGTTATTCGATTATTTTGCGGTTTTATTAGAATATTTCCATGTGTTACTTGATTTAGGGCTGAAGTATTATTGAAATATTCTCCCGCATTACCTGATTTGAGGTTGTGTTATTCCAATAACATGGTGGAAATTTAAATAACACGGGGAATATGTTGAATAACACAGCCCTAAATCAAGTAATGCAGGAAAATATTCCAATAAAACAACAAAATAATCGAATAACACCATATAATACTCAAACAACACATCATTTTTATAAATAACACAGATGAAATATTCTCGTAATACAGCTGATTATTCCAATTCTAACATATCTCTATGTTAGGAGTTCTGACGTAATATTTTTCCGATCATAAGGAACTCCCAAAACCACTTTTGAAATTTTCCTACTTATATTTAGTTTATCATAATTGCTTTAGTGCAGAAAATCTATTTTGCTTGAAAAGTGGGTTTTGATATGAAATAAATTTTAAATGGGTTTTGAATTTTTACAGAGGCTCAATATGTTCATTATCTTTACTGTAAGAAAAGTTTCATAATTTTTAAATTATATTTTATTTATTGAAATTTTTATGAGTTGTAATGACTTAATTAGCTAAGATAATACACATAATTATTTAAACTCATCTTACATTTTTTCTAGAGTCCTCTGACCACAGAAAAGCTACCAAAATAAGTCTCATATTTTTCTAATTTATATTTTAATTTATATAATTATTTGAAGCAAATGGGTGACTTAACATTGCAAATTAGGGCTTTTAGAGTTATAGATGTTCTCTGACTTTGGAAAAATAAAAGAACACTTCTAACCACATGCAAAATAAACCTTCAAATTTCAAGTTAAGGGGACCAATATTTAATTAAATATAACTAAAAAAAGTTCTAGAATATTTATATAATTAACAAAAATATATATGACAAATAATTTTTATTTTTACTCCATTATATTCTCCTTTATTTATTGAGCAACAAGATGTTTTTATTTTATTTTATGATTTTTCTACATTAAGTAATGATTTTTAAAATTTTTTGAATTAATTTATATAAAAAAATACTCTA